CCTTCCTCTCTCCCTTCCTTCCTTCCTTCCTTCCTTCCTTCCTTCCTTCCTTCCTTCCTTCCTTCCTTCCTTCTTCCTTCCTCCCTCCCTTCCTCCCTCCCTCCCTCCCTCCCTCCTTCCCTCCCTCCCTCCCTCCCTCTCTTTGTTCCTTCCTTCTTTCTTTCTGACCAAGACAGGGTTGGCAGTGTAACCCTGCTTGCCTCCCACAGTGAGATAGCAAGAGGGACTCCCGGAACCAGCATTTGATGGAGCTGAGCTTGGGCCAGTGGGGGCATATCTGGGCTGAGAACAGAACCTCAGGACAGCCTTATTTGCTGTCTTCCCCGAGCCCTGGCTTGGACTTGACCTGCTGTTCTTGTTTACCCTCCAATCAGTGCCATCACCTGCTTCCAGAGGAGGACCTAGAGTCTGGCTGCTCAGTGTAGCGCACGCAAGCTGGGTAGAGCTGGTGGGTCACCTCCATGGGCTCCTGAAATGACATCATAAACTATCATCAACTATGAGTAAGATAGTTCACCAGCCTGCTCCATATTCAATCCTCTCACTGGTTGCCTTTGCAGCCTGTGGCTCTTGCCAGATCCAAGCAGATGTGGGCTCTTCTAGGATTGGCCTGGGGCTGTCTTGGGTCCTTCCGGGCTGATGCTACTAGGTCACCTTCCTCCAGAGGACCCACAGCCCCTCCTCCTCTTCCCACCCAGCCATGCCTGAGAACATTCTCTGGCCTCGGTGTTTCTGATTTAAACGCTCCCCAGAGCTTGCCTGCTGTGTGCAGTCCGGCATCTGGGCGGAATAACCGTAACAGCTGAGCGCCATGTGCTTGTGGCTCTGGGCATTCTGGAGTGGGCTCGGTGCCAGTCTGTCGGTGGTGCAAAAGGCGCTGCCCTCGTGTGCCCTCTGTGCACTCTACCGAACCTCTCTGTGCCTCAGTCTCTCTTCTTGCACTTCTCAGAGTCGTTACTACAGAGTGTGGCTTCCAAGACCCATCTGCCCTTGAACAGGAGCCAATGCCCATGGGAAGCCTGGACTTGACAGCTCGGGGAGCCTGCCAGATCCCGTGTCTTGTGCCTCACAAGCTGCAAAGCTGAGGCCCAGGAGGACATGGCTTGTGGGACCAGGAAGAGGGAAGGCTCACTGGAAGTCTTATGGGCAAGGGATGATACCTAGTAAGGTCTGCATCCACTGTGGCTCTAACCCCGGATGAGACATGATGGGCACACTGCAAACATCCACTGTCTTCCTGCTCGGTGCCAACACCAACCTGGGGAAGCCTCACAAAGCTCCCCCGCTTACAGTTTTCACGTCCTGCCTGGCATACCAAACCCTCAGTTTGACGAAGGGTCTATTGCTGAGATAAATACCATGACCAAAAGAAAGCAGCTTAAGGAAGGACAGGACTGACGTGGCTTACACTTCCATATCAAAGCATCATCGAGGAGTCAGTGGGGGCCAGGGTAGGAGGAACCTGGAGGCGGAGACTGAATCAGAGGCCCTGGAGGAGTGCTGCTTACTGACAGTCTGCTCTTCTTACACAGCAGCCAGGCCCACCAGCACAAGGATGGCATCATGGAGGCTAGGTCCTCCAACATCAGTTAGTAACCAAGAAAATGCCTCGCAGACATACCTGCAGGCCAATCTGATAGACACCAACCCCACACTAGGTCTTCACTCTTCCTCCTCTGCCAAAGGCCCCACTGTTAATATCATTACACCAGGGGCTTTAGCTTGTGGATTTTGAGAGAATAAAAGCAATTAGTCCCTTGTACCCATTAGTTTCTTGTCCTTTACAGGGACACTGAGTCTGTCCTCACAGACTCCTCTAGAGTCAGCCTGGAAGAGGGGAAATGACAAGGTCTTAAAGGGACCCACTGAAGCTTAGCCTTCACCACCTGGGGGGAGTCACAGCTGTGGGCCATGCTGGCTTGTGTTCTCAGTGCCCAGGCTTCCTGCTGCATGTCTGTCCACACAGAGCCCTGCCAGGTATGGAGCCCTGCCAGCAGTGGGTCTGGCCTTGTGGCCCTGGGGACCAGGGCATATGTGTTTGTGCTCAGGAGTATCACATCCACAGAAGCTACCCAGCATGTACCTGCAGTCCCAGAACTTAGAAACTACAGTTACATCATTGACATGGCCTGGTCAGCTCCAGGGCATCCTGGGAGCTGTCTCCACTGTCCTCAACCTGTTTCAGCTAGGAGACTCTAAGAGACTTTCAAAACAAAACAATAGCAACAACAAAAAAATAAAACTAAGTACCTAAAATTAGAAAAATAATTCCCTCTGAAGGAGTCCCTCTGAGGCTAGTCCATATTTCTCCTATACCTGTCTGCCTCTGTCTCCCACATCCTGCATTAAAGGTATGTGTCACCGCTGCCTGACCTCTAGTGGCTTTAGCTTTGCCTCTGGTCTTCAGACCAGATTTATTTATTAAAATACAAATAATACACCACTAGAGGCCTTGCCTCTGCTTCTGGCTTCTGACATGGATCTGGTTGATAATATTGCAACCACTTCTCCACTCAGTGCTGAGCAAGTGTTCACAGGGTCCCGAGGACTGGGATATTACCACACTTCCAAGCCAGTCACCATGGTGCAGAAGCCAGCGAGGGAGGGTAGCACCCTGTGTGATGTGCCTGATGCCCATCTGATTGGTCACTGTGCAGAAAGTTCCTTCCCCAGAGACAACAAGGTGGCTCAGTGGGTATAGGTACTTGCCAACAAGTTTGATAACCTGAATCGGATCTCTAGGACCCACAAAGTAGAAGGAGAGAGCCAGTCTCTGCCAGCTGTCCTCAGACTGCCACATGCACACCAGAGCACGCACACACGTAAATAAATATTGAAATAAATCTGCCTTCACCTCAAGAGCAGACAGCTATGTTGTGTGTGTCCCTATAGTGGGCAGGCGGGAGGGGTCTTAAACCAACCAGCTCCCAACATGTTTAAGAGGCAGTTTCTCCCTCTTCAGCTGACACCAGTGTCCTTCTCAAATAGAATCTCAAAAAAGATCAACCTTGTTGAGCAGTGGTGGTGTATACCTTTAATCCCAGCACTCAGGAGGCAGAGGCAGGCGGATCTCTGTGAGTTCTACACCAACCTGGTCTACAGAGCTAGTTCTAGGACAGCTAGGGCTGTTACACAGAGAAACTTTGTCTCGAAAAACCAACCAAATAACAGACAACAAGACCAACCTCAAGATCAGGATAACATGGAAGACAGGCTGGCATAGAGCTCTCTGGGTGAAAGGGCCCATGAGCGAGTTCTGCCATTTCTCTCTACTCCAGAGTAAGATATCTATGGCATAGTGAAGCTTATCTGTGATTCCAGGCAGGAGGATGACGAGTTTGAGGCCAGCCTGGGCTACATAGAAGATACTGTCTCAAAAAAAAAATCAAAAGAAAAAGAAAATAAGTTGGCCTTCTTACCTCCCTTCATAATCTTCCGAGTAAACTCAAATACCATGGCCGGCCACACCCAGTGCAGACTGAGCAATTTCACTTCCCGGTCCCCTGGATGGGTGGCACCCGGCACTGCGGTGGAACATTCCAACACCCACACACTGAACGCTTCTGTTCTGGTACAGCTGTGCCGACCTCTGGGAACCTGAGGCCTCGGAGCTGGAAAAAGTCTGGCTTTCAGCATGGCCCGGCTGGGCTCTGCAGCATGGCCCGGCTGGGCTGCAGCATGGTTTGACTGGGGATAGCACCTCTGCCATCATGCATCTGGCTGCAGCTGCAACCCAGAGGTCTCACCCCTTTGGTGGATGACAGACTGCAGAGCCAGCTCACAGGCTCCATGCCCACCTGTGGGGACTATGCCTTGGTGCCGTGGGATTCTATACCAGCCCTAACTCTGTGATACCCTCCTTTGGCACTAGACAGAAAACGCCTTTCCATTCATGGGGGTAAAAGGAGTGTAGATACTTCTGGAAGCAGAGCCAGTGTGGTCTGGTGGAAGTAGAGGCTCTAGCAGGTTGTGGCCCTGGTTTTCCTTATACTTGAAGCCTAAGATGCTCCCAGAAGAGGACGGTAAAGGCCAGCGGATAGTCTCTGTGGGCAAGACTGGGTCCTGGACTTGCTGGTGACAGATCGGAAGCAGCCCTGGAGAGGGTGTCCCAGAGGAACTGTCACAGCACTGTGTTTTGCTTACAGCAGAAGATATGTGTAGTTGAGAGAGTTGATCCCAACAGAACACACAGTGTTTCTCCACGAGTGTCCACATGGCCTGGCAGCTTGCTTCTGGGGAGAGGAAGAAGCAGCAGCTGGCAGGATGGCTGCTTGCGCTGGGAAAGGAACAGGAACCTGTAACTGTTCTCACTGGCGGATGAGAGGGCGGAGGTTCAGAGATGAACACAAGCTATCCTGGGCAGCTGTACTAGGTAGCCCTCCTGGGTTGCCATCTTGGGCCCTAGTATGTGATGCTCGGCTGGCTTTCTCTCACTTGAGTCTAGCAGAGGAGCCGGTAAATGAGGGGCAGCACCTTTTATGAGGCAGAAGTAGAGTAGACATCCTGAGCTATGCCGATGACAGGATTTGGGACAAGGGAAGAGCCAGAGGGTGACCAGGGCTCTAAGGCTTAGCATAGAGGCAGCCCTGTGTCCCCTTCCCCCACTGGGCCAGTGAAACCTAGGTCAGACTCAAGGCTGATAGATAGCCCTCTTCCTGCAGACTAGACCGGAGTGACCTGTGTCTCCCGTGCTACCTGGCTTTCCGGTAGTCCCATGATAGTCCCGTGATCTAGGATGGGTGGGCGGGGAAATACAGTACAAAAGCTGAGCTCACAGGAAGCTCAACTTGTCCCCAAGCCACATCTCCAGGTCTCCCTGGGAGTCTTTCCTTGGCCTGGCTAGCTGGACCACACTTGGGGCCACAGTCCTGTCTGCTTCAATGCTGTTTTTCAGTCAGGCCTCTGGTCTATAATGGGGGCCCCTCGGCTGCCTCAAATCCCCCCAGAGTCCAGGAACTGACATTGTCTTTTCAAAGCGTGGAAACCCACAGAGACCCCACTGCTCGTGCGGCAGAAAGAAGAACTTGAGGCCAGAGCACAGAGGACACCTGCCCTCAGCTACACATGTGGTCACTAAGCTGCCAGTTTCCGTTCCTCCAGCCTACTCTCACCTGTGCCCTGAGAGGCAAGGGGCACATCACCACTTGGTGAGGAGTGTGGCTCTTGGGGAAGGTAGGATGTGACCTCAGAATCCAAGTCGGCATCTTCTAAGAAGGGCTGCTTTGAACAGGGGACACCTCTAGGAAAGAGGGGAGAGGGGACAGACACCAGAACTGGCCCATATTGGTCACCTCGATGGCAAGAGGTTTGGTTTTGGTTTTTGGAAACAGGATTTCTCTGTGTAACAGTCCTGGCTGTCCTGGAACTCACTTTGTAGATCAGGCTGGCCTTGAACTCACAGAGATCCACCTGGCTCTGCCTCCTGAGTGCAGGGAGTAAAGGTGTGCACCCCCACCCCTACTGCCCAACTGTCCTGAGTCTCTTCATTAGGAAAATGAACACAGTTTCAGGGAAGTCCACGGCTATAACTAGCTTGGAGCCAGGTATGTCACCCTCTGTCCTTCCCAACACATCTAGCTTGAGGGAAGAGCCAGAGCGGCCTTCGATGTCTTCAGACGAGCTCAGGAACAAGGGGACATTTTGATGGGGGCATTTGAAATCCAGCAACTTTCACACTCTTCACCTGTTGGGAAATACTATTTTCAGGTGTGTTACTTTTGTTTATTCTGCATTTGATTAACTGTGAAGCTTTGAGTCTTTGTCTAAAACACATGATGGTCCTAGTAAAGAGTTGAATAGCCAATAGCGAGGCAGGAGCAAGGATAGGCAGGCTGGCAGGCAGGGAGGATAAATAGAAGGAGAAATAAGAGGAGCAAGAGAACAAGGAGAGAAGGATATCAGGTGCCAGCCACCCAGCCAGTTACAGAGGAAGAAGGAAAGAAAGATGTACAGAAATAGAGAAAATAAAAGCCCAGAGGCAAAAGGTAATGATGGTTAATTTAAGAAAAGCTAGCAAGAAGCAAGCCACGCTAAGGCCAGGGATTCACAAGTAATAATAAGACTCCATGTGATTTATTTGGGAGCTGAGTAGTGGGCCCCTCAAAAAGTCAAAACAGTGAAACGTCACACAATATTCACCTTAGGAACACTGTTAGGTGTCCCTCTGCAGAAGCCTCCTGGGTGTCCCTCTCTCTGCCACCCACCGAGCTCATGCCCTCCCTCCCCCACAGCAGACCAGTCTGCCTTTGGTTGGCTCTGTCTGCTGTCCACAGTATTTCCTGCTCTCCTGCCTTCTAGAGGCCTGGGACTTGCCTGAAGTTCCCTTTAAGGTCCTTCCCCACCCACTGCCATCTCTCCCAGTCCCGTGTCCACGTGGCTCTGATGATGGAAAGCACCAACGAGTGACACCAACAAGCACAAGTCACGTGCGTTACCGCTGTCCCTGGCTCGGACTGTGAAGAGTTTATCCTGAGAACAGCAGCTCTTGGTGCCCCATCACCATTCTCTCCAAGAACAGACCTCACACACACACACACACACACACACACACGTTCTCCCTGAGCTAAGGTTGTCACTGCACTCAGGGCCCCCGAAAGGACACGCTGAATGGTAAAATCAAAATCTTGGTCATGGGCCAAGAAAGTTGGGACTTCCCTAGAAGGGCTGCCTCAGAGATGTGTTTTACTTCCTGGTTTTCAAAATTATAGAGTATTTCTTCTTCTCTTAAACATTTCCCTGCCATCTGTACTTTTGCAGGAAAAAGCACCAACAGCAAGGCGGCAGGGGACAGTGACGGTCTATAGTGAAGGTGTGGCCAAGTAGGCATTCCCAGGCCTGCAGACTGTATCCCAGCTGCAGAGCATCTCCTGAGGACCCTGTGTGGGTGAAGACAGATCACAGAGGTGGGGGATCCCATGTGTGGGCACACAGGGCACATCAGAGAAAGTTCTAGAACTCCAGGGAAGAGGAAGTGTGTCCATACAGACTCTAGAGGCCTGTCTGGGTCCCTGCTGAGCTGGCGCGGTGGGGGGGGGGGCAGGGCAGCATGGCCAGGGCAGGGCTGGGTTTGGCTCTGCGAATCTAACATGGACGCAGCAGCTGCTTCTGCTCCTCGACAGGATCTCTGGGGGGTTCAGAAACAGAGTCCATGCGCCTAAAACGTAAAAAAAAAAAAAAAGCACAGGGGATCCTTTTAAATCTTTCCTTAACCACACAGGAGGGAGGGGAGCAGGAGAAATGAGGTGCCGTCTCCCCGATGGCTCATCTCAAACCTTGTCTCCACACCTCCTTGTTTTCAAACCATGTTCTTCATGAACAAAATTTGTTCATTATGATGTCCGTTTTCATACACGCGGCAGCACATTTTGTGGTGTTGGTTCTTTCTCAGATCATCCAGCTTCAGCAGAGGAGCAGCTCCGCTCTGCATGGGGGAAGTTCCCTGGGGTTTATCCTTGGCTGTTTCTCTGTCCCTCCAGGAACATAGCTGCCTGGGACTGCCACTGACTTCTCTATGTTTTGTTTCCTGGAGCCATTTGCACAGCTGGGGATTCTGTTTCCCTGAAGCCTAACTTCGGGTTCGTGTCTCAAGCCCCTGGTACAGAGATCTGCCTGCCTCTGTCTTCTGGGGACTGGGGCAGAAGATGTGTGTCTGCTTGGCACCCCTCTGAGCCTGTCTGAGATGTGACTGACATGTAACATGGTGCACCCAGGTAAAAAGGGTCGGGTCTAGGATGGTGCAAAGGTAGAAAGTGCTGGTTACGCAAATCTGAGGCTCTGACCTGGATCACTGGAGCCCGCAGTGGAAGGAGGACACCGATTCATGAAAGCTGACTTCTGACCCCCATTTGTGCACAGTGGCACAACATGTTCTCCCCGCTACAGACTCATCATCATCATCATCATCATCAAATTCCAGAGTTTGACTTACTGTGCTGCGGCAGAACCATCATCCCAGGCTCTTCCTCCTACCTGCTGGCCAGTTTTATGCCAACTTGACACAAGCTAGAGTCATTGAAGAGGAGAGATCCTTGACTGAGAAAATGCTTCCATCCAACAGACTGCAGACAAGCCTGTAGGGCATTTTCTCAATTAGTGATTGATGCCGTCCCTGGGCTGGTGGTCCTGGGTTCTACAAGAAAGCAGGCTGAGCAAGCCATGAGAAACAAGCCAGTAAGAAGCACTCCTCCACGGCCTCTGTTTAAGCTCCTGCCTCCCTGCTTGACTTCCTGCCCTGTCTTCCTTCAATAACAAACAGCAATATGGAAGTGTAAGCCAAATAAACCCTTTCCTCCCCAAGCTGCTTTCGGTCGTGGCAATAGAAACCCCGACTAAGTCACTCTCTACACATTCTTGTCACTTTCTCCTAACCAGATGCACAATAACCTGCGTAGGTGTGTCTGTACTGTGACAGGCGTGTGGCGGCCAGAAAACACTCTTAGGTATCAGGTGTCAGTCA